TTGAGGTGCAATCCATACTGAAGGCTGTGGTCTTTGATCTTCTTCAGTAAGCATTTTAAGTCCTCTTTGCTTCCAGCAAGTAAGATTATATCATCTGCATATCTCAGATTATTAATGAGTCTTCTTCCAATCCGAATGCCCTTCTTCATAGAATCCAGTTTCTCAGATTATTTGCTCAGCATTGAATTGCTGTTAAGTGCTGTTAATTCGGTACCGACTCAGCAACCCTGTACAGGGTTTCCGAGGAGAAGCTGGTGAGTCTGAACTGCCCACGTTGCAGTTCAAACCCACCTTGCAGTCCAGTGCTTATCCTATAGTTCCACACCAGTATTGAATAAATATGCCAAAAGGATACATCCCTAGTGCACATCTTTCCTGATTAGCTTTAAGTATTAACCCAATTTGACAGATAAGGAAACAGGCTTAGAGAGGTTGAGCAACTGGTTAAAGGGCCTACAGCGATGTAGCTAGGATTTTACTGCAAGTCCAGTATCCTTCCTCCACACTCAATGACCTCTCTCCTCATCTAGTCCTAGGGCTCTCCTCTGCTCATCCTAGTCCCAGTCCTGATGCACAGTGAGTGCTCTGACAGTGTAGGGAGAATCAGGATGGGTGAATTGTGGGGACCAGAATAAGGAGGCCAAAACATCAGTTCTACCAATGTCCAGCAGAGGGCACCAGTCCACCACCAGGTTTCAAAGCTGCTACTCTCTGGGTGGCCACTGGGGATTCCCAGGAGAGCCTGGAGATTGGGTGAGGCTAGTGGGATTCCTGTTTTGGCGTTGTAGGATGAGCACTGGACTGCTAACTGCAAGGTCAGGGGTTCAAACCCAACAGGTGTTCCTTGGAAACCCTACACAGGGTCTATGAGTTGGACGCAACTACTTGACCACACTTAACAAGAGCAGGAGCCCAGCCTGTGAGGTTTCATCCTTATTGGTCTAGAGGCCTGTTCCTTCTCCAGATCCCAGTTCCCATGCATTGAGATGGGAACTGTCCATCCAAAAGGAGTGGAGTGCAAACAATGGCTCCCATTTTACAGATGAGGAAATTGAGGCTGTTGCTGTTGTTTAAGTGCCATCAAGTTGGTTCCGACCCATACCGACCCTGTACAGGGTTTCCGAGGCTGTGAATCTTTACGGGAGCAGAAAGCCTCATCTTTCTCCCACAGAGCGGCTGGTAGTTTCTAACTGCTGGCCTTAAGGTTCGCAGCCTGATCCATAACCACTATGCTACCAGAGGGATGGAAAACCCTACTGGGGGTCCCTCAGCTGACTCAGGTCCCTCAACCCCAGAGAGGAAACATTTGTGAAACCCCACCACCACACTTCAGGAGATAGTGCCTTAAGGGAGTCCAATGAGGTTCTTAGTCTTCCAGAACATTGGCCTAGTTCATGGGAGGAAGGGATCCTTGAAGAGCCAACTGTAGCTTATGAAGGAAGAAGGGTGCAAGGTAAATATACAGGGTGTCCCTGAACTGAGAACCCAGGAGAGGACAGGATTATTGGGGACTTCGTCTCAGGCTCTGTGAGTTTCCCACACTCTTTTGCTTCCCAAGGAAGAGGCTGTATACAGAAAAGTCTCCTTGGAGCCTGGAAGCTGAGCTTCAAGTTGGCTAGCCTCTACTTCTTGGTTCTCTGCAGAAGTGGGTTCAGGCCTCCACCCCCCACCCATAGAAAGTGAAACCAGTAGCACAGTGCTAGGGCCATCATCACCTAAGTCTATCTCCCCATTGCTGAGGTGGGAAAGTGGAGGCCCATGGCATGAAGGTGGGGGGCACCTACCCATGGCCACAGACCCTGCAGTTTTCGCAGGAAGACCCTGGTTCCCCATTTTTATTGTTGTTGTTTGTTCTAACTTATAGCGAGTCTGTATATGGTTTCCTAGGAGCAAGTTGTGGGTTTGACCATCGACCTCATGGTTCATAGTCCTGTGCTGATCCTACGGCACCACACCAGGAATACTTAGTGAAGGATATTTTTTTCAGTAGTAGCATAAAGTTAGCTCTGGATTTGAGGCTATATGCAGCTTAAAAGCAAAACTTTAAACTGTGCTTTAGTTTTTTAGAGCCAATTTTTTCAAGAAACTTAACTGGCAAACCTTACATTCTAACAAAGAGCGGTATGTGGACTGGATACCTGCACTTGCCCTTTTATCATTTATAACCCATTTCCTTCCCCTTCAAATGTGGCTACTAACATTTCAAAAGACATGGACCCTGAATGATAAGCATGTACCAGTCACTGACCTGACCCTCCTTCATGCAACATCTTGTTTAAGTTTCACAACAATCCCAAGGTATGCATTATTATTATCCCCCTTGTATGATGAGAAACTAAGGCTCAGACAGGTCAGTTAGCACAAGGCCACAGAGCTGCTTATCTGACTCCAGATCCCTGTCCCCTGTCCCCAGGGCACTGATGTCCTTGCTTCTTTCCCTGGTTTCCTTTATCCAACCTCTCCTGAGTACCTGCTGTGTGCTGAGCACTCTGGGGCAATCCACAGGCAGGGACTGGGTCTTACTCAGTAGTCACTGAGTCTACCACTGTGTGTTGGGCTCCCTGTTGGTCCAGAGGACCAGGGAGGAAGTTGCCCTTGGTACTTAGGATGTGTTTCAGAAGGAAGTGAGTGGAGGTGCAAACAGGGGTAAATCTTGGGAAGGTGGAGTGCCCCCACTCTCTCTCTCTCTCTCTCTCTCTCTCTCTCACACACACACACACATACATACATACACATGAGAGGCTAGTTCAGATGGGAAGAGAGGCGGCTGCCTTTATTGAGGACCGGGTCCAAGGGCATACAGCTGACTTCAATCAAAGGCCACACACTTGATCTTGAAATTGCCGTCTGCCTCCAGGAAGTTGATGGCCTCCAGGTTGAGGCGGTTGGGGAACTTGAATGTGTAGCCATCTGGCAGCTTGATGCTCAGGTCCGTCTGGTCGAAGGAGATGCACACCTAGGGAGTGTGCAAGGACAGTGAACTGAGCCTGGGGTGGGTCTCGTAGTGTGAGCCTTGGCCCCGTGACTACAGCCCACCCATTCCTCCATGTAACCCTGACTACAGCCCCTCTTTGTGGGTGATGCTCACCAGAGGTCACACAGGGATCAAGAAGAGAGTAGGTGAAGTCACTAAACCCACGCCCACCCAGTGCCCAGCCCACCTCGGAGACACTGCCAGGCAGGAAGGGGAAAGTCGTCTCCCGCTGCTCAGCACCCCAGGCCCCACCATCCTTGCTGTTACACACGATGGTGTTGATGTCCCCATGGGCGTCGAAGCGGGGGTTGAAGTGCAGGCACAGGTTGTTGGTGTCTTTGCCCAGGTTCAGCACGAAGCTAGGAGGGAAAGGTGGGGTTGGAGACTCCTGCACCTCAGCCACTCGGTGCAGCCTGGGTGTACGTCTCCCCACCTGGGGGAGCTCATGGCACTGGAGGCTCTGCTACCTACTTGCTGTATGACTTGGAATAAGTCTCTGCCCTCTCTGGGCCTCAGTTTTCTCATCTTTAGAATGGGAGCAGTGAAGAGGGTCTTGCTGTGTTGACATTCCAAGACTTTCAGAGACACTAGTCTGTGTCCCAGCGCCTTGGCTCAAGTGTGAGAATCCCTCAAGGAAAGCACCTCTGGGGGTAGGGGAGAAGGGGAGGAACAAGCCCCCTGTCTACCTTGAATGTCTCTTTATCTCTGGTGATGATTCTGTATCATTAAGTGACACACAGAAGCACTGAATAATTGGCGGGGGGAGTAAAAGAACAAATAATAGTACCTTTGTTGTTGGGTGGTGAGGGTTTGGTAAGAATGGATAAGCACTAGACTGCTAACCACAAAGTCAGCAGTTCAAACCCACCAGCTGCTCTGTGGGAGAAAGATGAGGCTTTCTGCTCAGGTAGATTTACAGCCTTGGAAAGCCTAGACAGGTCCGTGTGGGTCGGAAAGGAGTCAGTAGCAGTGAGTGTGTGTTGACAGCAGTGAGAGGTTTAGCATCACACTCCTCTAGGCGACAACCTCTCCTCGTTTTACTGAGGGACAAATTGACACCCAGTGAGGTTGGCTGACCAACTACTGAGAAAGTTGGCTGAACGAATGAAGGAAGGAAGGGTTGAGGAAGGTAAGATGGAGCGAATGAATGACTTAACTCCGAAGGAGGACAGTGAGGGTAACAGGCTCTTCCCCCTTCCCAGCTCCAGCCACGCCCACCCAGGGCTGGGGAGATGGGGCCAAGCCGAGGTAGCTAGATCACAAGGCGAGCCAGCAGCTGGTTTAGATTAAGGGGGCGGAGAAGTGGGGGATGTCAATGGTGGGGGCGCCCAGACCCTGCGGAGGAAGTGACTCATCCAGAAAACTGCTGCCTCAGCTGGCAGCTGGGTTAACCCCCTCCCGGCCCCCCGGGAGGTGGAACCGTGGCGGCCACGCCCCCACAGCCCCTCCACTGCCCCCCTCTGTTTGTCACCCCACCGTCGCCCCTCACCTCTTGGCGTCGGGGGCCACCTCGCCCCGCACTCGGAGACACTCCCCGGGTTTGAGATTCAGGTTGCTGGCGACCAGACCCTGTGCAGACAACCCCACCCAGCCCGTTAGAGGACGTGAATCTCTGCTCCTCAGTGGCTGGCAGTTTGGGTGGGGATTGGGATCGTCCCTATCCTGAACCCCGCCACCCTCACTAGGCAAGCTGGGAGCCTGGGGACTCCGGGAACCTATGTGACCCTGGACAAGTTCCTAGGCCCAAAAGAGCCTGTTATCTAATCTGAATGAGCGTTTACAAAACCGGATCTAGAAGCCTTTGCGGTTCAATGGTTTAGTGTGAAGATTGGATCAAAGTGGCCTGGGAGGAGGGGTACCACGCCATCTCATTTAACGGAGGGCGGGGTGGGGTCACTTGCCCAAGGTCACCTGTGAGTGGGTAACAGGGCTCCTGGCACCTGGTCCAACGGAAGGAGAACGAAGGGGTCTGTACATCTTTTGAAGAGGCCATACCTAGGGGCTGGGGGATCCTGCCATCCAATTCCAGCTCTATCCCCACTCTCCCCAGCCCCTGTTGGAGACCTTCCAGGAGCATGGCCAGGTCCCTCTAAGGAGCAAACGCAAACGAAGGCCAAGGATACAGCCCTGGTTCCTCGGAGTTAGAGCACTGAGGGCACTCCAGAGGGTCTACCACCTCCGGGTGCCCTGGGTGGGGCTGGCAGGAGTTAATGGGTGTAAGCACTTCCACCTGCCAGAAACTTGAACCCTTTCCTGGGGGCTTTCAGAAGATCCTCTACCAACTCCCACCCCCGCTTCCCAGGGTTTTGTTTTTTTTTTTTTTTGGAGAGGGGTGATTGGGTGGCCAGGAATTCCAGCAGGGACAGCACCACCCTCCACCCCTTAGCTCAGGCTGGCTTCCTCGCGGGCAACTTGTCCCTGCTCCTGGCTCTGACTTTGCAGAGCTCTCTGGAGCAGAGGCCGTCTCTGCCCTGGCCCGGGGACTGGGGACAGCTGCAGGGGGGAGGGGACGACAGGAGGTACTTTAAAGTGGAGGAGGGGAAAGGGACAATAGCGTCACCAACTAGGAGCTATCTCCCTCTACTCCCCCAGCGGGCCACACCCTTCCACTCTCACTTCTCAGAGAGCTGCAGAGCAGCGCAATGTCAGGGGAGGCAGAAATAACTGCTGTCAGACTCTAGAGGAATCCAGAAAAGTCTTAAGACCCAGAGGGCCTCTGGGGACCATGGTGCCCACCCCCATTTTACAGGCGCCGCCACTGAGGCCCAGAAAGAAGAAGGATCGCATAGCCGGGAGTAGAATCCAGCTGATAGGGGTCCCCTGCTCTCTCTAGAGTTTCTGTTCTCCACCATCCCCCCATTCACCCCCTAAGCCCTTGGGTGGGACCCCCAAACTCACACAGGCCATAGTTGAGGACAGTGGGTGATCCTGGGGCGGCTGTACCAGCTGTCTGAAGACTTCACAGAGAGGAGAGATGGGTCTCTGGCCGCTCCCACCCTTTTAACTGGACCAGACCCTGGTGAGTCCCGCCCCCTGGAAGTTTAGCCAATTGGAAGTCAGAACCGAGATAGGGGCCATCAGAGGCGGGGTCAATAGAATTTTGAAGCCAGTTGTGGAGCAGAGGTGACCAATAAGATTGGTGCCCCCCCCCAACCCTTTTAGTCACACCCCCAGGATCCAAGCTCCACCCTCTATTCTCCTCCTCCATCCTTCCCCATCCCCCCTAAAATTGTGTTGTGGCAGAGATTGGAGGAAGGCAATGGAAAATAGTTTGAGGATGAGCTAGGTCCAAGAGTTGGCGGGAATGGGGCCTGGGGCTAGCAGGCTGAGCTTGGGAGGACCCAAAGAAGATGGTTAAGGGGATGCAAGGGCCTTCAAGGATTGAGTTTGGGTAGGTGAGGCTGTGCACTGCCTGGGAGGGGTCGGGGTGTGGCCAGCTCTGGGCCTGTGAAGGCTGCTGGCACCCATTAACCACGAGGCCCTGGCCCCACGGGGGGCCTCCTCCTCCCGGAAGCGGAGATGGTGGCTCCCGCCTGTGTTCCTTACTAGGACTAAAGAAAGGCTGGGCCCGGTGCCAGGCCTGAGGCTCCTTCTCTTGGCTTGGGCCTCAGGCTTCGGCCCTGGTGAGGACCAGCTGGTGTTTGTTGGAGAATCCAGGCCTATTTGAGAGGGTCAGCCCCAGAGGGTCCAAGGGGAACTATGCCATGAGGGACTGGGGTTCCCACTCTGCACACCCATCCCCTTTCCACATCTCCCCTGCTAAGGCTAGGCACAGAACTTCCTTTCTCTATCCCTTCAGCATCCTCTGTGAGTCTGGCCCTGTGGCTGGCTGCAGGGTTCAAGATAACCCCTTCCAGACTTCAGAGCCTCTGTTGAGGCAGAAATGAACTGAGACCATAATTAAGAAACTGTTTTGGGGTCCCTTGAGTTTATGTTCATTTTGTTGTAATGATTTGGAAAAGGAGACGGTTGTACAACTTGAAGATTGTCATTGAAGTCACTGATTTATATATGGAGAAATTGTTGAGATGGCTTATGTGGTGTTATCTGTATTTCCTCAATTATAAAAACCAAAAAGCTAAAAGGAGCAGTTTGATGATGATACTATGGAAGGTCAGAGGTAATCACTGTGGGAGACAGGAAGCGGGAACAGAGACTGATCTCCAGTGAACAAGGTAGGTAGTGATGGGTGGGTAAAGATGTAAAGTTACCCTAACTGACTCCATTTTTTGAATTATGAGTAACCCTTGCATGTTTAAGTCCTGCCTGAGTGGAAAAGTTTTAAGTAGGAACTTTCTCAGCTGCACCTCCCCTCCCCAACCTTGTTGTTGTTGTTGTTAAGTGCCATCGAGTCGGGTCCGACCCATAGCTTATTTTTGCTTCTGTCAAACAGCTTCCGCATACATCCCACCTCTGGTCTCTCAAGATAACTGCCCCAGCAGATGAACCCCTAGCTCTACCCTAATGGTTTATGCATATACCTTACCCTTGGTTTGTGCAAGATAATGTCAGACTGCCTATGTATAAATACTATGAAAAATTGGGTTGAGGCTACAGTCATTCCTGCTTTTAGGGAGGCTGTAGATGCTGGCCAGCTAATAAAGGCTTCCTTGCTGATCCTGAGAGTCTTGAGTGGTTATCTGGGTAAATGGAGGCACAACAAAGGAAGAGAACATTCCAGTCGGACAAAGGCTCAGAGGTGAGGAAACATGGGAAGGACCAAGAGCACCTTGGCCTGCCAGGGTTTAGGGAATGTAGGGGAAGGATGGGGGAGGAGGCTGAGAAGCTCACCAGAGTTGGGTCCTGAAGGGCCTCAGGGCCAGGCAAAGATCTTGGCCATTATACTTTCTGATGGGTGCGGGGGACCCACAGGAGGTTCTGGGGTAGGGGGTAGAGGGGATAGTGAGACCGGATTCAAGTTGCAGGGAAGATCACTACACCAATAGAGGGAAAGGTGGGCTGGAGGGGCACTCACCCCACACCCCAGAATCAAGTGGAGGGAGAGGCGTGGTCAGCACTCATCAAGGGGGTGTCTTGCTTGTTTGCTGGGTGAATTCTCCAGGACTCCATTCTCCATACTCTCCCTCCTAAAACTGCTAGCACCAAAAAGGGAGAGAAGGGTGATTCATGTCTGGAAGTCAGGCCAGCAGACCTGCCCTCCCTGTCCTGTAACCCAGCCCAACCTCATGGGCCACCTTCCTCCAGATAGTTGAAGCCAGCCCTCCTCACTCCCCGGCACAGGCACAGGATGAGCGGCACAGGATAAACGGGGTGTGGCAGGTCCTGAAAGGAGGGCCCCATACCAGGCCTCCCAGACCAAGCTGGGAGTTACCTCTGTAACCAATCACAGCAACTTCACTTTTACCCCAAAACCTCAATCTGAGCTCAGTGGGGCCCAACAGAGGGACCAGCTCACTGCCTTGGCGCCTGCTTCCTGCACCGGGGCAGTAGCCATCCCTCCTGCCCTGTTGAGGCCTGGGGCCTTCAGGCGGGGTCCTGGGGCTCCGGAGCTGCTCCTATATTCTTCTCCCTGTTGTGGAAACTGGGCCCAGCATCAGAGGTGCCAAGTGTCCCAGAGAGATCATTTCACTCCTGTAGCTTCAGGAGGGGGAGAGACGATCACTATCTGCATCCACAGCCCAAGGCTGGTTCCTGTGAGGTGGAGGTCAGACATGCCTCCTCTCTCCGATGCTTTTACTATTTCTAACACCAGCCACCTGTACCATCCTCCCGGCACTCTACTTCTCTGGTGAGTTTGATAATTCATTGCTGTAGCCAAGCAGAACTCACATACGACACTCCTAGTTCTGAGATTTATTAGAGAAGTAACAGGTAACAATTCAGGTTTCAGAACGTACAGGATACAGTTCTTCCATCAGGGCAGCCTCTTGGCAGCCGTGCCACAGACAGGTCTCTATCTGGCCCTCATCTTGGACAAGTGTCACAATTCTTGTTAGCTCCACCAATAAGTGCCCAGAGACACTCCATTCCACCAATAAGCCTTGGCACAAAGGCACTCAGCTCCCTCTCTCTGTGGGTTGGCAAACCTAGTTCCAAGTTCCTGGAGACGCTCAATCTGTCCCAGTAAGCCTTCTGCCTGAATGCGCTCAGCATTCTTGCCCTGAGAGTCAGGAAGTCCACTGTGCTGTCTCCTGGTTCTGCTGCCGCAATTTCTCTGTCACCTTTTCTTACCTCCTGGGTCTAGACATGAGCACAGGGATCCTAGTTCCAAAGGATGAGGCCTCTGCTCTCTTGGTAGATGGATCATTTTAAGCCTAGCAGGATGCTAAATATCCGTGTTAGGGTTCTATGACCTTATTTGCATGGTCCAAGTCCTGGTATGGTGCTGCAGGTTAATGCACTGGACTGCAAAGTTGGTCTACCAGCAGCTCCTCGGAAACCCTATATAGGGTCACTATGAATCATAACCTACTTGGTGGTACTTAACAACAACAACAAAACCTTCTTTCCTTCCCTCACCTTCCCCTCCCCCCCATGGGGAGCTTGATGGCTCTGCAGGATAAGCACTGGACTGGGAGCCACAAGGTCACTGGTTGGAGCCAGCCCATAGCCGCTCTATAGGAGAATGCTATTTGTTCCTGTAATGTTTTCCAGCCTTGGAAATCCTATACTGACTCAATAGCAGTTAACAACAACAACCCCCCACCCCACACATACATGCACCTTACATCATTATCGACTTAGCCAATCCCCTTGGTGGGCCACATGCACCTCATTTGATACCCTTCCCCCCAGTCATCTAGTGAGTGTTACAGAAATCATGACTTGTTGTTAAGTGCCATCGAGTTGGTTCCAACTCATAGTGATCCTGTATAGGGTTTCCGAACAGTTACTGGTGAGATTGAACCGCCGACCTTGCGGTTCAAACCAACCTTGCAGTCCAGTGCATTAACCTGCAGCACCCCAGCAGGCTTGTTGTTGTTGTTAAGTGCCATTGAGTCAGTTCCAACCCACAGCTACCCTGTAGAGGGTTTCCAAGGAGCAACTGGTGAGCTTGAACCACCGACCTTGCAGTTCAAATGATTTTGCAGTCCAGCGCATTAACCCACAGCGCCACACCGGGACCCCCATAGCAGTCTAGATGGGCCATGTTAGCAATTCATTCTACCACAACTCCTCTCTATGGCCTGGTCCGGCTGAGAGGCCACATAGCATGGTAGAAAGTTTATTCCAGAAAGGTCCCTATTTGGGAGTCTGGAGACTTTGTTCTGCTCCTAAGTCTGCCATGTCTGCCTCATGGCATCCTGACAAGTCACGTCTTCCTGCTTGCCTCAGTTTTCCCATCTGTAAATTGGGTGGTTAAGCCCTGCCCTCTTGTACAAGGATAGTGTGGCTGGCACTCAAGTCTGCTATACTAAATATGGTTACTTTCTCATGAATCCCAGCAGGTTTCAACCTCCCCTCTATCCTTTTTCCCAGACTGGGTTAACTTCCTGGGGTCTTTGTGGCATCTCTGGAGTCCTTCTCCATTGCCCCTACCTCATCCTCCAACAAATCTCCTCCTGCCTGGTCTGGAAAGGGGTCTTTCCAAATTTCAGGGATATGGTCTTCCTGGGTCGGTGACAAGGACAAATTGCATCCCCCTCCCCCCCCCAATCTGTCCTCAGGACTCCCGGTGGTGGTAACAGCTTTATCTGTTAGGTCCTGTGCCTAGAGCCTTGCTTTCCTACATTATCTCATCATCCTCTTGGCTCCCCTATTTTGTGTCTGCCAACTGGCTGAGACCCAGAAATGAGATTGCAGTTTGAATCAGGGGCCCGGCCCATTCTGTTTTTGTGGCTGCCTGACTTTGTGGTTCCTTGACCTCGCTGAACCTGTCTCCAGTTCTGTCAGGTGGGGGTGGTACCCATTCACTAGAAGATTCTGTATGTGAGAGATGATCGAAG